CTGCGGGGTGGATCGGCGTCACGTCAGCGAGCGACGCCGGCGGCGACGTACGCCGGCTGCGGCGGCGGCGGCGGTGTCGGCGATGACGATGACGACAACGGCGGCGGCAGTGAAGGCGGCAGGAGTCATGCGGGGGCTAAGTAACTTTGAGTCCGCGGGAGGTCAGGCAAAAAGACGATGATACATCCGTGGAACGGACCCGAAAACGGCGTGAACGAGAATCCAAGAACAGAAAGAAAAAATACCCACAAAAAGGCATCGATCTTGACACTGGGGAAACAAATTCTTTCATCACTCACATCATCCGAGTGTGTCGGCAGGGAGACGCCAATTATCACGCATTGCTAACACCGAAGCTGACCAGGCCAATCCTGTGCCCAGGATAAGTCAAATCACCTCCCTCCAGAAAGGCAACATCAATATACATAAAATAATCAAAAATAACAACAAACAGTCGACAAATCTTCCCCAGACGTTTTTTGACTAATGTTTAATTCTCCTCCTGTAGACGGACATGCCCGACGTAGATCAAGGCTCAAACAAGAGTTCCACACATTTCGTTTTGTGCGAGGGGAGGGCTCCAATCGCCACCAGAATCCTCTGGGAGCCACCTGCAGAAGCCGCCAAGGACCTCCAAAGGTTCGAGCTTCGAACAATGAATGTCAAGAGTTGGGGCAGGAGTTGGCCGCTTGAGCCCACAGTGTCCCCAGGCGACCACCAGGAGCCCTTGGAAACCTCTGGAGGCCCCAGTGGGCCCCTAGAGAAACCTGCACCAGCGGAGGTTTCCAGGGCCCTGCCGGCGCTCTGTGGAAGGGGCCTCTGGGTACCTCCCAGGGGTCTCCAGAGACCTCCAGGAGGCAGAAGTCGCGAATGTCGCGGTCGCAAACCATATTGGCCGTGACTTGTCCCAGGATGCAGCCCAGGGGCAGGAGCAGTCATGGGGATCGGAGGGTTTCTCCGAAAGGTTTAGGCGGCCCGTCCTCATCCCTCCTCCTCCTCCTCCTCCTCCTCCTCCTCCTCCTCCTCCTCCTCCTCCTCCTCCTCCTCCTCCTCGCGAATGTCGCGGTTCTCGTCGCCACGGCTGAGCAAGGCTCAGAAGCTGTCCAGGATTGGCCCACAGGGGGGCCTGGGCCAGAAACACCCTGCCACCTCTTCCTTCCCATCCGCTGCTATCCTTCCCCTCCCCCCTTCCCCCTCCTCCTCCTCCTCCTCCTCCTCCTCCTCCTCCTCCTCCTCCTCCTCCTCCTCCTCCTGCTCTTCCTCCTCCTCCTCCTCCTCGTCAGCAGCAGAAGCACAATCATCATCGTCATCATCGTCATCATCGTCATAATCATCATCAGCATCAGCATCACCATCATCATCATCATCATCATCATCATCATCATCATCATCATCATCATCATCATCATCATCATCATCATCGTCATCGTCATCGTCATCGTCATCGTCATCATCATCATCATCATCATCATCATCATCATCATCATCATCATCATCATCGCTTCACATCATCAAACTCAACATTACCATCAGAATCATCATCATATTCATCAGATTCATCGTATTCATCATTTTCAACATCATCATCATCATCAGCATCATCATCAGCATCGGCATCATCATCGTCATCAGCATCATCAGCAGCATCGTCTTCATCATCCTACTATTATTCGCCATCATCATGAGCATCATCATCAGCATCATCAGCAACATCAACAGCATCATCATCAGCAAGATCATTACCGTCATCACCGTCGTCATAATCAACATCACCATCCTCATCAACAGCATCATCATCAACAACATCAGCATCATCATCAAATTCATCATACTCATCATATTCATCATATTCATCATATTCATCATATTCATCATATTCATCAAATTCATCATCATCATCATCATCATCATCATCATCAGCATCATCATCATCATCATCCGTATCATCGTCAGCAGCATCATCATCAGAATCAGAATCATCACACCGCAAGTGTCATCATCAGCAGCATCGTCATCATCATCAGCAGCAGCAGCATCAGCATCGGCATCATCATCATCATCATCATCATCATCATCATCATCATCATCATCATAATCAGAATCATCATCACCATCATCATCATCATTCTCAGCATCATCGCACATCATCATCATCATCATCATCATCATCATCATCATCATAATCAGAATCATCATCGTCATCAGCATCATCGTCATCATCATAATCATCATCCTCATCATCATCATCATCAGCAGCATCATCATAATCGTTATCGTTATCATCACCTACATTATCATCGTCATCATCATCCGCATCAGCATCATCATCACCATCATCATCATCATCGTCATCATCATCAGCATCATCATCGTCAGCATCAGCAACATCATCACCACCACCACCACCACCACCATCATCATCATCATCATCATCATCATCATCATCATCATCATCATCATCATCATCATCATCATCATCATCATCATCATCATTATTATCGCCATCGTCATCGTCATCGAAATCAGAAATCAGAAGCAGCAGCATCAGCATCAGCATCATCATCATCCTCATCAGCATCATCAGCATAATCGTCATCATCATCAGCATCGTCATCAGAATCAGCATCAGCATGATCATCACATCGCCATCATCATCATCATCATCATCATCATCATCATCATCATTATCATTATCATCATGATGACCATCACCATCCTCATCAGCATCCTCATCTGAATCATCAGAAGAATCATCGTCATCGACGCCATCAGCATCATGACCATCATCATCAGCATCGTCATCAGCATCATCAGCAGCATCCGCAGCGTTGTCATCATCATCATCATCATCATCATCATCATCATCATCATCAGTATCATCATTGTCATCAGCATAAGCATACTCGACAAAATCCACATCACTCACATCATCATCATCATCATCATCAGCATCATCATCACCATCATCAGCGTCATCGTCATCGTCATCATCATCGTCATCGTCGTCAGCATCATCGTCATCGCTATCGACATATCATCATCATCATCGTCATCATCATCATCATCAGCATCGTCATCATCACCATTAGTATCATTGTCATCATCAGCATCATCATAATCATCATCAGCATCAGCATCCGCATCCTCATCGCCATCATCGTCATCAGCAGCAGCAGCATCATCATCGGCATCGGGGGCGGCGGTAAGCGACCGACCAGCTGGCCAACCAACCGACCAGCCTGCCAGCCAGCCAACCAAACAGCCAACCAGCCAACCACCAATCCACACCCAACCAGCCGATCAACCAACCGCGGGCCGCGAAACAATCGCGAGAGGTCCGCGAAAGAAGCGCGCAAGATAGGCCGAGGGGCCCGGCGAGAGCCCGCACCTGCCGCGCCCCGCGGGGTGGGCGCCCGAAGCGACCTGCCGGCGCCGCGCGGCCCGCAGAGAGCTCACGACCAGGGGGGGGGGCAGGGCCGGCCAGGCCCAAGACGTGGTTGGGCCAGCCGCGCCGCGGATGCTCGTGCCGGGAGGGGGCGAAGGTGGCGACGGACGCTTGCCAGGCTGGGTATGGCCCCCACGACGGAGGCCAGATGGCCCCCACCCCTTTTGCTGCCGGGGTCCGTCCCACGCGACGCCGCGACTGGAGGGGGCCCGGATCTACCGGGCGGGGGGGAGCATCATGCCCCGCAGCGCCGACAGATGGGCGGCGCCAAAGAAAAAGGTCTTGCGCGAGATGGCACTGCGACAAGACGCAGCGAACTACAGTGAAAACGTATAGTAAGGACGCGTGGTAAGGACGCAAGACCCTTGGAGGCCGACGTTGAAGTATTCTGGCCTGCGAAAATTGCTAGGGACGGGCCGCAGAGGCTGAGGCAGGCAAGGACCCAAGGGTACCCTTGAAAAAGTCGTTTGTCCTTACTATGCGCGTTGACTGTACGCGGCCCGCCAGCGAGGCACGCCACACTGGAAACGAGGCAGCTCCCGTGCGACCTTACGCGGGGAGCTCACGCGCTAATGTCGTCGAAGACGGTCCCGTTATCTTGCGTTGCTCAGTTGTGGAGCTTTGAGCTCTGAACAGTTGGGGCAGTATTTATATCCCGCCCTGCCCAGGTGCTGGAACGGGGGGGCGCCTGCTGCGAGGCGGCCGCGGACGGACCTCCTCCGACGCCCACCGAGTGCGACGGGGGGGAGGGCGCTCAACGCAGGCCATCACTCAAGGGGCCCAAGGACACACAAACAAATACACACAAATCCCAGGATCGTCTTCACCCCAGCTTCCCATATTTTCCCACGTTTTCCTGGGAGTCGACGATTAATTGTGCCTGTGTTTTTTCCCCTCCTGAATCACTGCCGCCCTGGCGCGCCCCGTCGCCGCTGCCGCTCGGAGGACGGCATTCCCCAGGGAGACGTCGATCCCCTTGACCTCCTCGAGGTTCACCGGGCTGACCTTGCTCTCATCCGCGGCGCGCCCCGAACTCGCCATGCGAAGCGGCCCAAGCTGAGCTTCCAGGAGGAGCAGGAGGAGGAGGGGGAGGAGGCGGAGGGGGAGGAAGAGGAGGAGGAGGAGGAGGAGAAGGAGGAGGGGAAGAGGAGGAGGAGGAGGAGGAGAGGAGGAGAGGAGGAGCGAGGGAGGAGGAGGCAGAGGAGGAGGAGGAGGAGGGAGGAGGAGCAGGAGGAGGAGGAGGAGGGGGGGGAGGAGGAGGAGGAGCAGGAGGGGGAGGAGGAGCAGAGGAGGAGGAGGAGGAGCAGGAGGAGGAGGAGGAGGAGGAAGCGAAGCGAACGCCGGAGTCGTGCGCACTCCTCCGGGGAGCCCGCCCGTGCCCATCAGGGCACGGGCGGCGAACGGCGCGCGGCGAATGACACCGCGTCTGCGCCGCTCGTCGCAGTCGGCGGGTCGGCACCACCGCGGCGGTCTCCGACTCGTCCTGCTCCTCCTCCTCCTGCTCCTCCTCCTCCTCCTTCTCCTCCTCCCTCTTCCCCTCCCCTCCCTCCTCCTC